CAGCCTAGATTTTTTGTATCTCACACCATGTATTAGCGATATGTATTTCGCATTTTTATTTTTTGTATCTGCCTTATTACCGGCAATATTTTTCGTTTCGTAATAATAAAACAACGACGCGTTAGTAGTACATTATCTCCTAATCAGTTCGTGTAACTTCTGTCGCATGTACATGTATATAAAGCCACCGATTGCCCAAAAACAGATACGATAAAAATTCACTTTTTGCATTGCATTACCTAGCTTTTATTAGCGAGATACATAAACCAGATTTTTCAACCACATCTAGCATCTATATAAAAATACCACCATGTCTTCACATGCCTCTTCACCTTCCTCGCCAATTTCCACATCATCTACTTTGACAGAAGAAAGGTCAACTCGCACGATGGCAGATGCTATTAAAAATTACAGCACGGATGAACTTATCGATTATTTACGAAAGAGGGACTTGAAACTTGACATTGAGGATCTAGCTGTTCTTCGCAAGCGGAAAATTGATGGCTTCGCTTTTCTCGAGTTAACGGAAGACAGACTTGAACGATGTGGTGGCCGGCTATAAAACTTGCAAAATTTATCGAAGATCTCAAGGAACAAAAAATACGTAGCTTTTCGTCGTATAAAACTCTGGAAGAACTGAAGGACGTACTCCGCAAATATAAAGTCAATGGGGAGGATATAACGAGCATCAAACAATTCAATCCGGGTATGTAATATTTCGATGGGTTATTTTTTTTGGTAAAAACCGTTACCAATGGTAACGATCGAAATTTCAGATATGTAATAATTTGTTTTTTTATTGTATAGTATTCGAGGAAATCGATGATGATGACAAAGCCCTAGAACAATGTATGAATGAAATAACGTTGAGACTTTCGAATCTGGAAACAATGCAAGATAGTACCAATGAAGCCACGCGTTGTGTATTTATTTCGTCTATATTAAACGCATCTCTGGCTATCGTCCGACGAATTACCAAGGAAGAAAAAATCTATATAGCATACCAAAAAGGAGTTTCCGGTGAGGAGGCATCTGGTCGTGTCGACTATGCCATAAAAGGAAACGAGGATCTTATGTGTATAGCAGAAGGAAAGCCTCGTAATGTAGAAATCGGTTACCTTCAGAATATTATGCAATTAGAAAGTGCATACCATACAAATAAGAAGAAGCGTACAGCAGATGAAGCTTTCAAGGATGAATACGATTATCTTTACGGAATAGTTTCTACAGGTACTTATAGATTTTAATATCATATAATCCCTGCAATAGATTTTTTGGTTGTGCCACAGCCGATTTATAAATTTATTTTTTATTGTGAAACAATGTGGCTCTGCCTCTAGCTACGGAATGGCATTTCATCGTTTTTGCTACCGATGGGATCTATTGCACCAGTAAAAGTGAATATCGAATTAATCTTTCCAAAACGGCACTTAAAAAAGATCTAGAATCTATGAGAGAGGACGTGAAGCAAGTATTGGGTGTTATTGTTGGATTATTAAAATATAGAATTAGTGTTGATAATTCCCCATCCAGTAAGAAGGCTAGGATCAAAAAATTTACCGAAGAATAACGGGTAGATGCCTCTTTAAGGCGTCCCTATGGGCCAGTTTTCCCATCTCACATGTATTTTAAGTGTCTTCGGCACTAGCTCTGCTATATTGTATTAATAAAGCAATCAGACCTAAATGGTCTTTTTTTCCGATAATTAATTTTGTGTATGATAAGGGGTATCTTTATTTGGCTTAATCATCATCTGAGATTCATCAAGATCGCCATCCGAGATTCATTCAAGATCGTTATCCCGAGAATATTAATTCCGTTAATGGGTAAAGTCGATAATAATAACCAATAAATTATAAAAACGGGTATGAAACTACTTATCTGGTCACATCCTTCATCGTTAACATGGCTTTACTAACCTCAAATCTCTGGCATATAATATCTTAAAAATTACGGGAGAAAGCATAGTTCAAGATGCAGAAATTCCAGAAATCCCGAAATGCTCAATCTGTACGATATTTTAACAGTTGCTTATAAGGCCTTCACAATACTCGAATGTGGACATATTTACCATAGAGTTTGTATCGAGAAAAAAATTATCAATACTGTACCAAGTACATGTCCTTTTCTGGGTTGTGGAAAAAGCATTGATATCGTTGATGAGGGTTCAAGACGAGACTCTGTATCTTCTCAATTGAGTGGTACATCAACTCTAGTTGGCGAATTTACTCGTAATATTGAAATTACTTCCCGAATTTCATCCCAGGGTCAAGCAATGAATCTAGATGAAAATGAAGAAACAGAGCATCGGCATGAGCCAGCTGAAGACCAAGTTGAAGAATCATCTGATTCTACCAGTAAAAAGCGGACTAATGAAGCTACGGATAAATCAACCGAAAAATTCTCAAGTAAAAAAACCAAGAAAGAGATTAAGGCAGAGGACTCTATCGTATTAAAAAGACTTATCCGTGAGTTATCTTTCGATACCACTCGAATTTCTGAAATTAGGGAAAAGAAAGGACTCCATAGAGAATCTACACAAGAAGTAGAGGGTTCCAGATTTTTTTTCGATTTGTATCTAAAAATTTCAAAGGCGGAGGAACAAAACAAAAACACACATCATGAGGTCATAAGGAGCTATTATAATTTTGGAGATGAACTAGAGAAACGTCTCGCTCAGTATAGAGAAGCCAACGAGGAGCATGATGCTCTAAAGAAGCTCTATGATGAAGTTAGAGATCAGCTTCCCAAAGAGGTTACCAAAAATGCTCTTCGAAAGAAAGCAGACAGGGCGAGAAAGATTTTTTTTCGTATTACTGATGACAAAATTCAACGGGTGGTATTCATCCAACGAATTAAAACGTTTTCGGCAACATCTATTTCAAATTTAAGTTCGGATAATATCAAATATGTAGCATCTCATGTTAGAAAGAATACGCAAGTATAAAATGCCGTGATCATGTGATGGTGGAATTCTGAGATCGAGCCATAATGGCGCATTCTCGAAATTTGGCACTTTTTTTTATATGTAGTATTGTAAAGCATGATCGTAATAAAATTATGGGTCGATCACAGATCAATCTGTGCGACAATAGATTTTTCTACTCTTACTTTTTTTAAT